ATTCATTCATCCATTCGTTGAACCATTTATCGATCAAACGATCGATCGTGTTTTCGTCTTTTCCTCACAATTGATCGATTCATAACTCTTTTGTATTGTTCTGACTGTTTCTGTCTTTATACACCACGTTCATTCACATCACATCGCTGCACTTGAGTTGAAGAAGTTAAAGACTTGACTTTACAACTCATTGATTCGTTCACCTGTTGTGGTTCATGTGTCCAATTGTATCCTCATCATTTTTATTCTTTTTTTTTTTCTCAGTTTCTTTTTGGCTTAAAATGCTACTTAAGCAGCAATTATTGTTACTTTGTAAAGCTATTGTTACACTTTTTGTTGTTGTTGCTGCTTTGATTCTTATTGTTTGAAAAAAGAGGGAGAAAAAAATAAAAGATCAATATAGCAAAATTGATGTTACTGACAGACGTTCGATGCTGCTGCTGATGATGACGATCATATTTATTTTCATAAGGATGTTTAATTGTTCATTTAACAAAAGAATAAATAATGTTTAAATGTATTATTGTGGGTTTTTTATTATTGTTCCTTGTTTTTCTGTTGCTGTTGCATTGTTCATCTTTTATCATTTACACCGCTCCAATTAGGCTGTCAAAATTGCATTTCTTGAATTCAAATCTCAAACACTCAATTCGTTTTCATTTTTCTCCCTTTTTTTAAAGGAACAAATATACCATTGATATGTGTATCAGTTGATCAAAAATTTCAGAAACCGCTTTTGTATATTTATGCGTTTAAATTGTTTTGCTTTCTAAAGTGCCGTGCATGGTTTTAGTTTTGGTTTTATTTAAAACAAAATGCAAGTCATTTTTCCTTTTATTATGGGAATTTTGTTTTCCCAAATATGAATGAAATTGCTTTTGTTATGGGAACAATATTTATTTACCATTTAAGTAGATTTATTTATTAATTAATGGAAATATAATTTTTTATGCTACTTTAACAATATAAAAAACACAATTCTATTTCATAAAGGAAATCTTTAATGCGATGAAGTTTGCTAAATATTCAATGCTAAGAAGTTTATTAAAGTCTATTTTCAATAACGTTAAGTTTTCTTCAATGCGGAAAAGCTTGCTTTAGAAAGTTTCCAATGATGTGACATTATCTCTAGAAAATCTTCAATTTTTTAGATAATCTTAAATGCAATGAAGTTATCTAAGTAAAATCATCAATGCGATGATATTTATTAAAGATAATCATCAATGTGATAAAGTTTTCTAAAGTAAGTCTTCAATGCGATAAAGTTTTCTATAGAAAACATTCAATGCGATAACATTTTCTAAAGAATGTCTTCAATGCCTTAAAGTTACCTAAAGAAATTTTTCAAAAAATGTTCAATGCGATGAATTTTTTTCAAAGTGTTTTTCAATACCTGAAGTTTCATAAAAAATATCTTCAATGCTATGAAGTTCTCTATAGATAATCTTCAATGCGATGAAGTTTTCTATAGAAAAACTTCAATGCGATTACATTTTCTAAAGAATGTCTTCAATGCCTTAAAGTTACTTAAAGAAAATTTTCAAAATATTTTCAATGCGATGATGTTTTCTATAGAAAATCTTCAATGCGATGAAGTTTTCTATAGAAAATCTTCAATGTGATAACATTTTCATAGGAATGTCTTCAATGCCTTAAAGTTACCTAAAGAAAATTTTCAATGCGATGAAGTTTTTTATATAAAATGTTTAATGTGACGAAGTTTTTTAAAGAAATTCATCAATGCGAGGAAATGTCTTTAATATGATGAAGTTTCCTGATTAAAAATTTCTATGTGATTAAGTTGTTTATAGAATGTGCTGACGATTGCTTTAAAAATATCTTCAATAAAATGAGTTCTCCGTAGAATTTGTTCAATGCGTTAAAATAACCTAAAGAAAATGTTCAATGCCATGCAGTTTTCCATAGAAAATCTTTAATGCAACGAAGTTTATAAAATTATAACTTCAATGCAATGAAGTTTATTAAAGAATAACTTCAATGCAACGAAGTTTTGTGTAGGAAATCTTCAATGCGATGAAGTTTTTGATATAATATCATCAATGCGATAAAGTTTTGTATAGAAAATCTTCAATGCGTCAAAGTCTTCTAACGAATATCTTCAATGCGATGAAGTTTTGTACATACATATATTAAATCTTCAATGCGTCAAAGTCTTCTATAGAATGTCTTCAATGAGATGAAGTTTTTTTTAAATATTTTCAATACGATGAAGTTTTCTATAAAATGTCTTTAATGGGTTAGAATTACATAAAGAAAATATTCAATGACATGTAGTTTTCCATAGAATATCTTTAATGCAAAGAAGTTTCTTGAATAACATATTCAATTCAATGAAGTTTTTATATAATATCATTAGTGAGATAAAGTTTTGTATAGGAAATCCTCATTATGTTAGAATTTTCCAACGAATGTCTTCAATATGATGAAGTTTCCTTAAGAAAAAACTTCTATACGATAAAGTTTTCTTTAGAATGTCATCAATGAAAATTTCTTTAATACGATGATGTTTTCTACATAATGCATGTAGTTTTCTATAGAAAATCTTGAAGTTTTTTAAAGAATATCTTCAATACGATGAAGTTTTGTAAAACTTCAATACGTTTAAGTTTTGATATAATAACACCAATGCGATAAAGGTTTGAATAGGAAATCTTCAATGCGTCAAAGTCTTCTATAGAATGACTTCAATGAGATAAAGTTTTTTAAAAAATATCTTTCATACGATGAAGTTTTCTACAGAATGTCTTCAATGCTTTGAAATTGCATAAAGAAAATGTTCAATGCCATATAGTTTTCTACAGAAAATCTTCAATGCAATGAAGATTCTTAATGAATATCTTCAATGCGATGATGTCTTGTGTAGGAAATCTTCAATGCGTTGAAGTTTTGTAAAAAAAAAATTCAATGCGATAAAGTTTTTTATATAATATCATCAATGTGATGAAGAAAAACTTCAATGCAATGAAGTGTTGTAAAGCAAATCTTCAATACGTTGAAGTTTTCATATAATAACACCAATGCTATAAATTTTTGTATAGGAAATATTCAATCCGTAAATGTCTTCAATGAGATGAAGTTTTTTTAAAAAATATCTTCAATACGATGAATTTTTCTACAGAATGTTTTCAATGCGTTAAAATTACATAAAGGAAATGTTCAGTGCCCTTTAGTTTTCTACAGAAAAACTCCAATGCAATTAGGTTTCATGAAGATTATCTTCAATGCGATGAAGTCTTGTGTAGAAAATCTTTAATGCGTTGAAGTTTTCTAAAGAAAATCTTCAATGCGATATAGTTGTTTATATAATATCATCAATGTGATGAAGAAAAACTTCAATGCAATGAAGTTTTGTAAAGCAAATCTTCAATACGTTGAAGTTTTTATATAATAACACCAATGCTATCAATTTTTGTATAGGAAATATTCAATCCGTCAATGTCTTCAATGAGATGAAGTTATCTTCAATACGATGAATTTTTCTACAGAATGTTTTCAATGTGTTAAAATTACATAAAGAAAATGTTCAATGACATTTAGTTTTCCACAGAAAATCTTCAATGCAATGAAGTTTCTTAAAGAATAACTTCAATGCGATGATGTCTTGTATTGAAAATCTTCATTGCATTGAAGTTTTCTAAAGAAAGTCTTTAATGCGATGAAGTTTTCTAAAGAAAATCTTCAATGCTATGAAGTTTTCTAAACAAACTCTTCAATGCTATGAAGGTTTTTATATATCAATGCGATGAAGTTTTTAATAAAATATAAATAAAGTTGTGTATAGAAATCGCCAATGCGTCAAAGTCTTCTAACGGATGTGTCCCATACGATAAAGTATCCTAAAGAAACACATTTATGTGATTAAGTTTTCTATATTATGTCTTCAGTGAGATGATGATTTTCAAAAACTATCATCAGTACGATGAAGCTTTCTGCAGAATGTCTTCAATACGTTAAAATTACTCAAAGAAAATGTTCAATGCAATGTAGTTTTCCATAGAAAATCTTTAATGCAATGAAGTTTTCTAAAGAAAACATTCAATGCAATGAAGTTTCTTAAAAAATATTTTCAATGCAGTGAAATTTTCTAAAGAATATCTTCTAAAACGATGACATTTTCTATATAATATCTTTAACGGAATGAGATTTCATTAATAATTTTTCCTTTACAGTGAGGTCTTTTGAAGAATATTTTCAATGTGATGAAATTTGCTAATAATAATCATTAATGCTATCTAGAATGCTCCAGTTTTTAGAACTCTGTCTCGGACAAAGACGATCGTCAGCGTTCATAAGTAACTTTTATGGGATCCTTTTACTGGTTTTTAATTATACTTACTCTTTTTGTTTTTCATATTTTCAACCAATAACAATTAAAAAATTTCAATCATGATTTTTTTTTATATAAAATTTTTTTCTTTTTATTTGAATTTTTTTTTTTTAATTTAGTTTTAATTTTTTGTAGTTTTTCTTGTTCTTTAAAATTATTATCATTTTTCGTTTTTAATTATAAAATAAAAAAAAATTTATTTTCTTTTCATTTTTTGTTTGTTTTATAAATAAATAATAAAAAAAAATTATACAAAGTATTACAAAGAAAATTTCAGAGTGTTGAAAAGTGTGAGAGAGAAACTTAAAGTATTTACTTAAAATTACAATACAGCAAGGGAAATTATATATAGAAAAAGGTATAGAAAATTATACACAATTAGGGAAATACCGGGTCAAGGGTTTAAAAACAAATTTACATTATTTTATGAGATTTAGAAAGAGAGTGAGAGAGAGTGGAAAGAGTGTAAACAAATATGGCTACAGTTGATCTTAACTTCAATTTGTTTTTTTAAATTAAAACTTATTTAGTTAATTTTTTTTTGTTTTTGTTTAAATTAGGAGATACACAAAATAAAATACATTTATAAAACATAAAAAATTATTATAATTAAAAATTAAGAGTTATTTTACTTAGTTTTTAAACACTATGATTTAGTTTTTTTTTTTTTTTAATAATAATAATAATAGAATCCTTAAATGTAAGGATGTATTCGCTAAACAAACAAAATAATATTTGATTTATAAGAAATAATTAGTTAAATTATTATTTAGTTAAAAGAAAAAAAAATAAAATTTCGTTTTGTTTTGTTGTTTTATATAAATACATACATAGAAAAAAATGTTTAGAAATTTGCGAGTTATACTACTAAAGTTATAAAATTATAATTAATTTATTATAATTTATAATTTTCTGTTTAACATTTACATAAATTTTATGTTCATTTTTTAGTTGCTATACACACAATTAAGAGTATCATTAGGAAGTAAGAGAAGTTTAAAAGTTATATAAGTGAGTATATTGCTGTGTATGTATGTATGAAAGGAAATGAGAGAGAGCGAGAGAGGGAGCGAAAAAAACAAAATGGCACTATGAGAAATTTGTTTAATAGAACAACGTACTAGCGTTTGGTTTAGGTTATGATTGTTTTGCTTTTATTTGAAGTATGAAAAAGAGGCTAAGTTGGGGGCGTGACCAGTAACTAGACCTATTTTTGACAGCCTAGCTGTCAAAATGGTTAGTTTAGGTTTTATTGTTTTATTTTTTACAATTTCAATTTCTTTAAATATTTATATTTATTTAGTGACTACTTAGTTAGGTTTTAAATTTTTTTTTGTTTGTTTATAGCTAAAATTTCGCAACTCTATTTAGTTTAAGTTATAATTTTTGTTTTGTTTTTCCTTTTGTTTAAAATCTAGTATTTACACTTACAAAGAAAAAAATTCAATAATTCAGTCCACTTAGATTGCGTTTGTTTTCTGTTTAAAATTACATTATTTTATAAACAAATAAAAAATAATTATTATAAACAAAAAAATAATAAAAATAGAAATAATAAAATAATTAAAACTTATTAAAGCGTTACAAAAAGAGAGAAAATGAGAGAGAGAGAGAGAGAGGGGGAGGGCTGGAAAACTCGGCCCTTGCATTTAGCAGCTGCTCTTCACAAATGCTCTTTTTCACTCTCTTAGACATGTAATAAGCCATCTGCTTAACTTGGCCGCCTGGCTGGCTGGTTGACTGTTTGACTGACGACTGACTTGGCATGTAGGATGTTTGATGAACACTCACGCTTAAATATCACGACATTTTATTGTTGAGAAACTGTGTTACAAAATGTTCAACTAAAACTCTTGTCTTGCAAGTCTCCCGCTCTTTGTTATAACCTAAGAGTGGTAGAGACGTTTGCGTATCTCTTAAGTATAAGATTTGTTAGTTGTTTTGTTTTAGTTTATATTGTTGTATTTGGCTTCAGTTTCATTTGATTTTTGTTGCTATAGTTGTAGTAATTTAAACCGTTTGTGGCTGGTGTTGGCCAGTTTTTTAGTTGTCCTTACCGACAGCCACAGCCCACCACGGTCATGTCCTGATAGTTCTTGAGCACTACGGTACTATGATCGTTGAGATAGAGCATCGATATGCCCTCCAGCTGTGTGGGCACACAGCAGGCCTTTGGCACCTTTCCTGGATTGATACTATTGACTAAGGTTTGCACCACCGCATGATTGGTGGAATTCAAATGTTCCGCTATGGGAAACGGACAACGACCATGACAGTAGAAGGCATCATAGCCCGGCGGCGCCACAATCCAATCACTCCAGCCCACATCGGCGAAATCCACATACAACGAGTGACGTCTGCAGATCTCTTCGTTGTTTTTGCGCCGATGCGTTCTCCGGTGATGGCCACCCGCCCGTTTCGAGCGTGTGCTGACATCCCGTATGGAACGCGACTTGTGTCGGCCGTCATCGGTATAGGTGAACAGCAGGGGTTGTTTGCGCTGCCAGTGTTCATGCTCTTCGTCCGCACTGCGGCGTAAACGCACATGATGATGGGGCGCTGGTTTGAGGGAGCGTGATGTCCTCACCTCAATGATGAGACCGAAATTCTTATTCGGTGAAGCCAGCCACCGATCAACAGCAGGTTGTACGTCCAAACTCACCGTATCCGTGCTATTTAGACGTATCGTCTTATTGTCCAACAACAAATAGCTCGGCTCACGTTTACCTCTCACGCCCAAGCGTATAATGTCGTAGACGAGCACTTGATAGCGTGTACGATTCGCCAGGCGGGGATTTAAGGTGGCATGACTAATGGCGTCACGTGTTAATTGCAATTCGGCCGCTTTAAGCTTTTCCTCGGCGGGTATGCTCTTTATATCGAAATATAAACGAAACCGATGATGGTGCGGAAACCGATCGTCGATTTTACTATCTGTAATGAGAGAAAAGAAAAGAAAAAATAAATTGATTAGTTACGGTTATTTAAAGATAATATAAATTATTTTCAGTTTTAAGATTTAAGATTTTGTTTAGCGCCACAAAGGCTAATCCGCTTAAAGGTGGCCTCTTTCCAAAACGAGCTACTTAAAAATGTCAGGCTCAGCTTTATTTAAAGAACACACCTATTAATGATCGTTCGCTCGTTTGTTTGAAAACCAACAAAGAAAATTTCTATTGTTTGGCTGTTTAAACCTTTCTCTTGTACAATTTATAGCTGGCGCCTAACTACAAAAGCCAATTTGTTTAGAAAGAAGCAACACCCATAAATTTACACATGTAGAAAGAATTTTTGTTTCGTTACTGCAAAAAATAAATATTTTTCCAAACACTTGTTCTAAACTCAACTAAAAATCATAATTTGTGTTATTTTAACTTGAACCTTTTTCGGTCTAAACGGCAGCAGTTAAATAAATTTTAAATCTGTTTACTAAAAGCAATCCTAGCATCTAACAGGTACTTTGTTTCTCATGTGTGTTTATTAAAATTCCCTTTAATATTTTATTTATTATTAATATTTAGAAAATATTTTTCCTTCCTTTCCTTCTTTACACTTTATTTTTCCCGAGAATTCTTGGGAATTATGTAAAGTAGTCGTCAAGTGGAAAGAATTTTCAAGGTCATTGCTGGAATAACATTAGCATTTAGGTAGGAGAACTCATTTAAGACCTGTTATAATGAGTTCTCTCCTTCTTTTTCTCGTGTGTTTGCCAATATATGATCATATATGATTGTCTGTCCGTTTATCTGTATTTATTACCGCCTTGTCATTGCTATTGTTGTTTTTGTTTAATTGTGAAAATCTTATGGAAATCCCTGGCATTGTTCTTAATGAGTTTTTATATCTTCTTAACTCGGGTGCCGGTATACGTGTGTGTTTTTATTAGTGTCTTATAAACGGCTTAAGTGTCTGACTGTCTGTCCGATTTAGTCTGTTTGTCGCTAGTTATTGTTGTTGTATGCCGGTAATAAAAATTTGCATACAAGTCTAGTGTTTGGGAAATTTTACGTGAAATATTCGTTGTAGTGAATTGATTTTGCTTGGGAATTTTCTAAAATTTTCTTTGATTCTTTTTGTATGATGAAATTGTGGAAATTTTTATTTCCAGTCAATTGCTGTAAATTAAGTCAAATATGAAGAATTTATTGAAAACTAGAATTGAATTAGAACTGAACTAGAACTGAACTAGAACTGAACTAGAACTGAACTAGAACTGAACTAGAACTGAACTAGAACTGAACTAGAACTGAACTAGAACTGAACTAGAACTGAACTAGAACTGAACTAGAATTGAACTAGAACTGAACTAGAACTGAACTAGCTAGAACTAGAACTGAACTAGAACTGAACTAGAACTGAACTAGAACTGAACTAGAACTGAACTAGAACTGAACTAGAACTGAACTAGAACTGAACTAGAACTGAACTAGAACTGAACTAGAACTGAACTAGAACTGAACTAGAACTGAACTAGAACTGAACTAGAACTGAACTAGAACTGAACTAGAACTGAACTAGAACTGAACTAGAACTGAACTAGAACTAGACTGAACTAGAACTGAACTAGAACTGAACTAGACTGAACTAGAACTGAACTAGAACTAGAACTGAACTAGAACTGAACTAGAAACTGAACTAGAACTGAACTAGAACTGAACTAGAACTGAACTAGAACTGAACTAGAACTGAAACTAGAACTGAACTAGAAACTGAACTAGAACTGAACTAGAACTGAACTAGAACTGAACTAGAACTGAACTAGAACTGAACTAGAACTGAACTAGAACTGAACTAGAACTGAACTAACTGAAACTAGAACTGAACTAGAACTGAACTAGAACTGAACTAGAAACTGAACTAGAAACTGAACTAAGAACTGACTAGAACTGAACTAGAACTGAACTAGAACTGAACTAGAACTGAACTAGAACTGAAACTAGAACTGAACTATAGAACTGAACTAGAACTGAACTAGAACTGAACTAGAACTGAACTAGAAACGGAACTAGAACTGAACTAGAAAGGAACTAGAACTGAACTAGAACTGAAACTAGAACTGAACGAAACTGAATCTAGAAACTTGAAACTAGAACTGAAACTAGAACTGAAACTAGAACGGAACTAGAACTGAACTAGAACTGAAACTAGAAACTGAACTAGAACTGGAACTAGAACTGAACTAGAACTGAACTAGAACTGAACTAGAAACTGAACTAGAACTGAACTAGAACTGAACTTAGAACTGAACTAGAACTGAACTAGAACTGAACGAGAACTGAACTAGAACTGAACTAGAACTGAAATAGAACTGAACTAGAACTGAACTAGAACTGACTAGAACTGAACTAGAACTGAACTAGAACTGAACTAGAACTGAACTAGAACTAGAACTGAATAACTGACTAGAACTAACTAGAACTGAACTAGAACTGAACTAGAACTGAACTAGAACTGAACTGAACTGAACTAGAACTGAACTAGAACTGAACTAGAACTGAACTAGAACTGAACTAGACTGAACTAGAACTGAACTAGAACGGAAACTAGAACTGAACTAGAACTGAACGAGGAACTGAACTAGAACTGAACTAGAACTGAACTAGAACTGACTAGAACTGAACTAGAACTGAACTAGAACTGAACTAGAACTGAACTAGAACTGAACTAGAACTGAACTAGAACTGAACTAGAACTGAACTAGAACTGAACTAGAACTGAACTAGAACTGAACTAGAACTGGAACTGAACTAAGAACTGAACTAGAACTGAACTAGAACTGAACTAGAATTGAACTAGAACTGATCTAGAACAGAACTAAAACTGAACTATAACTGAACAAAATATTTAAAATATCGTTAAAAAACTCCATAATAATAAAATGATATTGATTTTTTAAAAGATTTTATCGGACCTGTTGGGCACTCCCTTAGCTAGGGCCTCAGGTGTGAATAGAACCCACGGCCTCTGGTCTACCAGGCAAGAACACTAACCACTCAAAAGTTATAAAGAGAGAATTTGTAGCAAGCATTTAGCTTAGCCATTTGAAAAAATGATTAATCTAAGGGCTTTTTAATGAATCGGAATATTAATTATGCTATTTTTTAAATTAGCATCATTATCTATTCAAAAACAAGAATTCAATGTTAATTTTAATTCAAATCTAGGAAAACTAATGTGAATTGAATTTTGTACAGCCATATAAATAAATACTTAATTAAAAAGAAACTATTTATCTCACTTACCTTGATGTGTAAAACTTCTCACTGTGTTGGCGGATTTTGTTAGCAATCCAGGTTTTGGTATATTTACAGAATTCAATTCATGACCCATTATCTGGGCATACAATTGTTTCATTGCCTCGGGTATGATAATCTTGGAACGATCAATTTTTGGCGGCCTCTTCATATTGAATAGCGATAATAAACTATTCTCAATTTCGACTAGAGTTGAGGGATCGGGTTTTACCTTTTCGGCTATAATCTCTTGATTGCTAAAGGTGCGTGGACCCTCATCGGGTATTACAGCATCCACTTGGGGCTGTTGTGATTCCACACTAATGGCACCATCATCATTTTGAGAAATGGAAACATCTAAATCCATGGTGGAGGAGGAAGTGGATGATTTAACTTCTTCGTTAAGATGTGTGGATGTGGTTTGAGATGTTGTTTTTGTTGTGCTGCTAGATGCTGCTGATGTTAAATTATCACTAAATGTTGTTTGTTGCTGTAGTTGCGTATGATGATGTTGTTGTTGAGAGGCAGGTTGTGATTTATGTTGTTGTTGATGATGGTGTTTATGATGATGTTGCTGATGATGATGTTTCGAGGAGGAATTTTCATTATTTAATTTTGTATCCTCTTCTGTATGAATTTGTTGTTTATGTTGTGTGGTTTTTTGGTTTTGTTGTTGTTCTATTTCACTTTCTTTTAAAGCCATTTTGTTAAGATTTTTATTTGATTTCTTATTTTGTTTTAAATTTTTATGATCTTTTTCAATCACTTCGTTTTCTAAATCGTTTATTTGTTCGATTTCTTCAATATTTTTGATTTCAATTATAATGTTTTTATTTGTATCAATTTGATTATTATTATTTTGCACTTGTTCTTCACTTTTTGTTATTTGTTTTTTATCACTATCACTTTTATGAGGTTTATACACAATTGTTTTATCTACGTTTTCCTGTTCCGTATTGATGAAAACGTTGGGAAAATCCACTAGTTTTGTTAATGCAGTTGTTGACGACGGTTTTTGTGAAATCGCCGTCGTTTTTGTTGTAGTTGTGTGATTAAAATCCTTATTAATTGGTTGTATTGCTGTGATAAATCTCGATGATATATTATTATCCTCGGTGCTAGCAACTTGAACGATCGTTTGAAAAGTCGCCAGCACTGCGAGGAGTAGAAGCCATGCGCGCATGGTCGCTTGCAACTCTAAAACGATACAAAAACATGAACACACAGCGTTGTTAGTCAAAGGGTTAACACACAAGAACTAAAACTAAATTTGTAAAAGTAAATCCAACAAACTTAAGACTGAATGTAGAAATAAATGTCTGTTTGCGAGACGACTAAAGATACACAAGGCATCTACCATACACACTCACCCACCGAAACTAACTCACTCAAGAGTAATAAAATCTCACTCATAATATGCCTCTCGCTTACTCTTTAGACGAGTAAACGAGAGAGCCAGATTAATTGTTTAGAGAGTTATGTAGGTTGTCAACAGGTAATATATCTTTAAGATACAACAGTTCCCGCAACACATAACAAGAAAACAATCTAGAAATTTAAGAAGTTTTTTGACTCAGTTTTCAAAACTACTCATTTGTTTGCTCTCTTTTACTCAATGCTTTTCTCTCATATTCTCTTTTTACTTCTCTTTGCTCTCATCAATTTTGTACTCTCTCTCTACCAGATTCTCCCTTACGAACACACTCTCTCTCACTCTCCCTGAAGACGTACGTTCATTCGTTAGAATTTTTGGAAAACCCCGTGACATTTTTCAATCATATTCCACCGCTATCCCTTCGTACAACAACAATTCAACCATTTTTATGTTCTCCTGTAAAAAGGGCCATATATGTAACTCAAAAGACACACACTCGGAAATGTACCTGCTCTAATGCAGTTTTTCGAGTGTGTGTTTTATGGCCCCTGGTTGCACTTGCGCATTAAAACTCTCCGCTGCACTAAACAACTTTAATTTAAAATATAGTATGTATTTGTATGCGGGTGCATGTGTGTGTGTGAGCAGTAGGATTAATAAAATTTCAGGTACTTTCTCATTTCTACACACGCACCTTCTATAAATACACATCCAACGGATGGTTGGTACCATATAAAAATATATGTACTTTATACTATTTATTAAATCTCTAATATATCTTCCTTTTAGCGCTCTTACTTCTGCTTGGATTCTCACATATCACAGGGGTTTAATGTTTAGATTTAATATTTAAGTTCTTGTTTTAACATTTCCAGGTACTTTTGTATTAAAAAATAAAACATTCGTTCGTTCAAATTGATTATAAAAATCCGTGAGAGATTTTTATTAAACACTTTAGTACATTAAGCCTCCTTAATAAATAGTATGAAACAAAAGGTGTTGTTAAAGTTTTTTTCTATTGTTCAATTCCATTGAACTGAGAATACGATTTTTTTAACGGAAGGGAACGTGTTACACATTTTCAAAGGATTTTTTATTTTATTCTTATAGTAAAATGCTAAAATTTAGAGACGGAAATAAAATTGAAGTGTGGAAAAGATGGGGAATTGGAATATCATTATATTCAAAGTCACTCTTAAAGTGCGTTCCACAAAAATATTAAAAAATAAATTTGAATCAATTCTGTTCTAGTTCAGTTCAGTTCTAGTTCAGTTCTAGTTCAGTTCTAGTTCAGTTCTAGTTCAGTTCTAGTTCAGTTCTAGTTCAGTTCTAGTTCAGTTCTAGTTCAGTTCTAGTTCAGTTCTAGTTCAGTTCTAGTTCAGTTCTAGTTCAGTTCTAGTTCAGTTCTAGTTCAGTTCTAGTTCAGTTCTAGTTCAGTTCTAGTTCAGTTCTAGTTCAGTTCTAGTTCAGTTCTAGTTCAGTTCTAGTTCAGTTCTAGTTCAGTTCTAGTTCAGTTCTAGTTCAGTTTAGTTCAGTTCTAGTTCAGTTCTAGTTCAGTTCTAGTTCAGTTCTAGTTCAGTTCTAGTTCAGTTCTAGTTCAGTTCTAGTTCAGTTCTAGTTCAGTTCTAGTTCAGTTCTAGTTCAGTTCTAGTTCAGTTCTAGTTCAGTTCTAGTTCAGTTCTAGTTCAGTTCTAGTTCAGTTCTAGTTCAGTTCTAGTTCAGTTCTAGTTCAGTTCGTTCTAGTTCAGTTCTAGTTCAGTTCTAGTTCAGTTCTAGTTCAGTTCTAGTTCAGTTCTAGTTCAGTTCTAGTTCAGTTCTAGTTCAGTTCTAGTTCAGTTCTAGTTCAGTTCTAGTTCAGTTCTAGTTCAGTTCTAGTTCAGTTCTAGTTCTAGTTCAGTTCTAGTTCAGTTCTAGTTCAGTTCTAGTTCAGTTCTAGTTCAGTTCTAGTTCAGTTCTAGTTCAGTTCTAGTTCAGTTCTAGTTCAGTTCTAGTTCAGTTCTAGTTCAGTTCTAGTTCAGTTCAAGTTCAGTTCTAGTTCAGTTCTAGTTCAGTTCTAGTTCAGTTCTAATTCAGTTCTAGTTCAATTCTGGTTCAGTTCTAGTTCAGTTCTAGTTCAGTTCTAGTTCAGTTCTAGTTCAGTTCTAGTTCAGTTCTAGTTCACTTCTAGTTCACTTCTAATTCAGTTCTAGTTCGGTTGTAGATCATTTCTAGTTTAGTTCTAGTTAAGTGGAATAAATGTTGTTCCTAATGCGTCAATAACATTATTATTTTGTTTGTTTTTTGCTGTAGTGCCTTGAACTCACATTAACACTTTAAAATTATTTAAAATCTGAAGAATAAAATTTTACGCAATTTTTTTTTCAATTTTGTATTGTTTGGAAAAAGGTTAAACATGTAATCTTTTGACTTGTATATAAACAGATACAATTTATTATTTACAACAAAAAATAGCAACAATAATAAAAACAACAGGCTAAAACTGATTTAAAATCACACAACAAATAAAATAAAGAAATGAAGATTTTGCTCTAAATTATATAATGATGATCAACGTATAGAGTTTTTATTATTATTTTTTTATTATTTATTGCTTTTTCGTTTGTTGTGTATTTTTTGAAAATTTATTATGAAATCTTTTATTATCAATTTCTTGTTTCATTTTTTGTTTTGTGTTTATATTTTTATTGTTTCACTTTTTTTCTTGTATACAATTTAATAATTCTATTATTGATTGTTATGACTTTTTCTAAGAATATTATTGAGTCTTTCTTAAGATTTCAACAAATTATAACATAAAAATATTATGAAAATACTAGAGTTTAAAAAAAGAAGAAAAACAAAAGATTAAACTCTTATATGAAGTGAAGTGTGAGAGTTCCTACTTGCTGACTCTTTTTATTGAATATTTTTCCAATTGTTTTCATTTCAAATGATCGCGGATTTATGTGTTCTTGTTTTTTTCTTCTCAATTTTCCATTTTTTCTTGTAGTTGTTTCTTAACTTGGTCAATTGTTGTTCTTTTTTTTGTTGTCACTAGAAGAAATTACCGTTGTAATGACAACAACACAATTATGGTTCCATTATTTGTGTAACAATGTTGTTGTAGCTGAACTCTAATCATCTCTCCCAAACATACACACGTTCCTAAAGTACAAAGCAAAATATAGCAACAACTACTACAACAATAAGAAAAACAACTGTTAAAACTAATAATTCACGTGTGAAAATAAATACTGAATTTTGTCACATTTACTGGTTTAACAACAACAATTGGTGTTGCTGCTGTTGTAGTTATCTATTGCTAACGATGTTTGCTGTAAGTAGATACATAAGTGAGAAAGTGTACGAGAATGTGTGAACTGGACTAAGTACCAAGTTTGTTTATTTGGTTGTCTGGGTTTAGATCGGTATCAAGAGAAATTTGGCAAAAGATAAACTGGAATATGACTGAACTGAACTAGAACTGAACTATAACTGAACTATAACTGAACTAGAACTCGACTAGAACTGAACTAGAACTGAACTAGAACTGAACTAGAACTGAACTAGAACTGAACTAGAACTGAACTAGAACTGAACTAGAACTGAACTAGAACTGAACTAGAACTGAACTAGAAACTGAACTAGAACTGAACTAGAACTGAACTAGAACTGAACTAGAACTGAACTAGAACTGAACTAGAACTGAACTAGAACTGAACTAGAACTGAACTAGAACTGAACTAGAACTGAACTAGAACTGAACTAGAACTGAACTAGAACTGAACTAGAACTGAACTAGAACTGAACTAGAACTGAACTAGAACTGAACTAGAACTGAACTAGAACTGAACTAGAACTGAACTAGAACTGAACTAGAACTGAACTAGAACTGAACTAGAACTGAACTAGAACTGAACTAGAACTGAACTAGAACTGAACTAGAACTGAACTAGAACTGAACTAGAACTGAACTAGAACTGAACTAGAACTGAACTAGAACTGAACTAGAACTGAACTAGAACTGAACTAGAACTGAACTAGAACTGAACTAGAACTGAACTAGAACTGAACTAGAACTGAACTAGAACTGAACTAGAACTGAACTAGAACTGAACTAGAACTGAACTAGAACTGAACTAGAACTGAACTAGAACTGAACTAGAACTGAACTAGAACTGAACTAGAACTGAACTAGAACTGAACTAGAACTGAACTAGAACTGAACTAGAACTGAACTAGAACTGAACTAGAACTGAACTAGAACTGGACTAGAACTGAACTGAACAGAACTGAACTAGAAGTGAACAAGATCCGAATTAGAACCGAACTAGAAGTGTATTGAAACTCGGTTACTTAACTTAAATGTTCTCGTATGATGATTTTGCTTTTGCTACTAAATTACTTAATAGCAACAATACTTGCCAATTTTTTTTTCTTACATTTTAAAAATTTTCTTTTTAATACTTATAACAGTTTGTATACTTTTTAGTTATTTTTTTTTCTTTATTATTTGGCCACTGAAATTTGTTTACCTTAAAAACACCATCTCAACCATACAAAGTTTTAAATAACGAAAATTTTCTACGATTTAAGTTTAAACAAATTGATTGTTTTGTATTTCGCGTATTTAAATTTTCAGGAAAAAAAATTAAGGAAAATTGTTTATAAATCTGTATTTAATAAACAAATGATTTCTGTTTAAGTACACAAAACATTTATTAAAAAATATACATACATATATAAGAAAAAAACAACAAATTCCGCATATACACGAAAATTAAGTACTCAATTCAAGGTGCTTTTAAATGCGCCAATTTGGTGGGAGATTTTTTTAATTATA